TGAAAATACTTCCGTGACTCTTCAGCCACGTCTGGCTCTTGACACGTAGTCCTGAGAAATTTCTCACGAAACAGGTTTTTCGTCCACTGACATTACTTTCCCTTTGCTGTAATCTCTGTGTGAAACTTACGAACGGGACGAAAACGACATGCACTTTAGATTTCAGGCTGCTCTGAAATCCCAAACGAAAGGCCGACATTGTCCACACTCGAGATCACCCAAAGAATGAAGCGAGTTTGATTCAAAATCCAAAAAAATGTTGGGATTCGTCTGAAGCATATTCAAGCGAGGTACAGTCGGGCTTGATGACTGATCAAAGCCCTCGGGCCCAGCCCTTGGGCTTTGATCAGCCATCAAGCCCTCTGTACCTCGCTTGATTATCTACTTCAAACACCAGTATAAAAGCCATATAATTATATTATAGCCAGGAAGTCGTAAAATACGACTCCCTGATTATAGCAATAAAAACTGCTTTTAATATGGAAGTTTTCTAAAAAAAGAATCATTTGCTTATGCTCACCGTGTGCTGATTTTATTCGGATTTGATCCATCTTGTTGCCCTTGTCAACAGTGTGCGAAGAACGCGAGTTCACCTTCTTGACGGTAAGGCTTATGTTACTGCTGAGGCTTTACAATTGTAGATGTGTTGTCGAAATACTGTTAATTGTACATTGGTACGTTACAAGTAAGGCCTGGTCATGATTGCTTCCGGCATTCCGTGCTCCGATCATAGGGTAGAATCTGAATTTTGCAGTGGCATAGCATCGTTGGCAGTTCCCAATCTCGAGGGAAAGGTTCAAGGACGCATTGGCCGAGTATGCAAAATAAATTCGCATATCAGGGAAAATCTCCATGATGGAGAGGTTCGTGCATTCACTTGTGACTTGTTTGCTTCATACGAAACAAGCCAATGGGTGCAGTCTCGTCTCGTGAAAATCTCGTACGATTGGATTTGTTTACTCGAGTCTGGGCTGTTTGATTTGTGAGTGGCGCCGAGATTGCACTGTATCAAATGAAGTTGCGTGCCGGCAGAGCAAGAATTTCAATCTGCTATCTGTTTGTAATTGTAGTACGTGCAAGAATGTGCAGTACATGTATCGTTTTTTCTCTGTTGTTGTTTCAGTTGCCGTCATGTTGCTAAAGAAAGGTTCAGTGACTCATTTGTTTCATACAAGACGAGTCAATGGTTTGGCCAGGCTTAGAATCTTTCGATGTAGAAGAAATCTATTCGTGTCTCTATTGGATAATTTTTTGTATTCACTCGTTATGAAATAGGGTTAAGACAAACTCACAGAACAAATACCATCGGTCCCTTGATGTTCGTCCTAAAGAGGTTTGACTGGATATCATTCATACTCCCCCAAAGTCGTGTAACATTGTATTATTATTATGGAGTGCCTTGTTTATCTCTCAGTACCTCCAACCATATATCCTTGCCTCTTATATCCTCAGGATCAGTGTAGTTGTTGGAACGAGGTGTTGGACTCAACAATGTATTTGTTTACATTTTAATACATGTTTATTGTTCCTACTTTGCTGTGTTGTTTTAGACAATCGTGGACTTTGAAGTCATTGAACTACTTCCAAAAGTTTTATCGACATCAACAGGATTACGATTTCAGTACAATATGACGCCGGATGACCTTATCACGACAGCCCATGACTACAATTATAAACACAGAATCAACAAAAACATCTGCGGCACGCAACCGGCGTGTGGAAATCGGAATTATCTGAAAAACAAGACAATTTTATGACAGAGTCATATACCAGCAACATCCACAAAATGACCTGCGTATAAAAAAAGTATCACCGCCACTACCCATATGATTCCCCTCCAGAAGAACATGAATATGCAAGACTACTTCTCGCTTGTAGTGCCATTTTCTGCAAGAAAAGGCTTGCACATCAATGCATATAATAGGGTATTGAATTTCATCTGATGCACATGTAGAGGCGCTACCAGGCCCAGGGAGTCGTAAAATCCGACTCCCTGGGTGCTACATGTAGGCCATCATCAAGCCTTTTTTAGGGCATTTCAAAAAGCGATCCTGTCAGCTTTTCTATTATCATTTAGAAAAGCGATCCTGTCAGCTTTTCTATTATTGTGTTCACATGGTGCTACATAACGACACCGCTATTCAGACACTTTGTCTACGTAGCTACGTAAGTTTCTACGTAAGATGCTCGGTACCTGCTCCTGGACAATGGCCTACAGTCCATTCATCGGAAACTGGCCCGCTGGTTATCAAAAACCCACTTTAAATCTCAAAAATCTGGGTTTTGGATCTGCTTCTCCATACATTTTGCCATGGCATACCTGTCCTAATTTTGTAAAACCTGGCTGAATTTCTATTTCCCTGTTCTTGCACATTTCTGGCCTCCAGTCCATCCTCAAGCGTGCAAAAAACATATCTCTGCAACTAATCGAGACTTAAGCGGGATTCACAGAAGGTTTTTTGCGATGTGACACGCGATGCTACAGACGCGAAACCGGGAAAATCCCAAATCGCAGCCATGTCGCACCCCACGCAACTGCCGCAACTGGGCCATCGCAGGCCATCGCAGAAGTTGAGCTTGGCTCAACTTTTGCGATGCGATGCGATGCGACAAGCGATTTGGTGTACGATTTTGACCTTTTCTACAGCAAAGTTGTACAAAGGTGCAAGAGTTGCCTATAAATTTTTACAAGTTGTGTCAAACCGCGCGAATATATTCTGTTTGGCTCACTCTACCCAGAGAAGTTAAGGACCTGACCTCACTCCGCCTGTTTAAGATCCGTGCCGCCCCTTATTTACTACGACATGCATAGCTCATTATCCACATGTCCTTTGCGTCTCTGTGTTTTTCACTGTTTTTATTTGACATTATCTTTCTTTATTATTATTATTATTATTATTATTATTTAAATTTTGAATAGGGCAATCCCCACAGGCCTAAGGCCTTTTTACAGGGTACCCTATGTGGTCACGTATAGATTTGCGGAATAGTGAAAGCGAGGAGCAAGAGCGAATGTCAGCTGGAAGAGAATTCCAGCGGTCAGAAGCCAGAAAGCTCAAAGCGAATAAGCCATAACGAGTGCGTGCTTTAGGCAGAGCAAGTGAATCTATGGACTGGGAACGTGTATGGGCAGCTGTGCGTGTTGTGGCAGAACGAAGGCAGAAGCAATCAGAGAGCAGAGTGCTACACATGCCACGTAGGGCCCGAAAGACAAGAATATACAGTTTAAGCTGATAGCGCAGTTTCTTTACGGAGTTGTTGTGGCCGTTCGTTTTGCTACTCTTTCTTTTTCCCTCCCCTTATTTCCCTTATTTCTATTTATCGCCGTGGTTGGCAATCACCCACTCTCGTAATATTGGCCGGTGTTTCCGCCGAGTCTTGAGATGTTGAAATAATTAAATAAAAAACAATATATCATAGTGACGTACCCAAATCAGCAAAACTTTGTCGCATCGCTGACTTCTTCTGTGAATGGTATTTCGCGAGTTCGCATCGCACGCATCCATTGCAGATCGCGTCGCATCGCGTGTCGCATCGCAAAAAAGCTTCTGTGAATCCCGCTTTACACTAATTTTTGCGCTTTTGGGCCCAAATAAGTCTTGATGGCGGCAAAAATAATTGTCAACTGAATACGGAAGTGAACGAATTTGGTCGAAAGTGTCGAGCCACCTTCATGACGAGCAATCGTTTGTGGCCACTGTTTGTGAACTTGGAGCTTGTTTTGGTGTGTGTCGGCAGGAATTTTTTTATGGCGATCAGGAAACGTTTTTCACATCGAAATCAGTGGTTACCATTTGAAATTGAGATGTTCAAACAGCGAATTTTCTACGTCGAAATGAAGTTGGAGCACCATCGAGTTTGATTATTCCGATTTCCTTGGTGGGCTAAGGTAAGGGTAATTAACAGCTAGACATAAAAATCTCACCTGTTCACGCCCTGTATAATCCAACTTCGACCTTCAAAGTGGGCGTACTCAAACAACATAAATCATACATGCCGTATACATAAACCTTTGAAGGGAGCATGAAAACACGCAAACGCATAGTTGTGTACACATGTACATTGCGCATGCACATGTACGTGTGTACATTGTAGACCCTAGTTTGTGTTCCTCTGTGTGTCTCGGTGTGTCGTCAATGCTGTATTCGACAACCGTAAGCATAAGGAGAAAGTTGCCGTTGTACGCGCTCTTGTGTGTAGTATCAAGAGTTCATAACCCCCAAGAGTGTGCAACGGGCATAGACCCAGCGCTCGGCGAAATTCCTACATTACGTCATGCGCAGCTTGTCATCCGAGGTAAATTTGGGTTCTTTGCGATTTCTGGAAACTATACCCTGAACCGCTCCTAACTCAAGGCTGTTTTTTTTTTCCTAACTCAAGGCTGTACAGTCCGTGCGCCAGATTCAAAATATCGCACTCTATCCGTGTTTTTTATTTTCCAGAGTCAGTGGACTTTGAACTTTTTGAGCTATTTCTTGAGAATTGTTAGTTTCTAGTCATTGCAAGGTGGGCCTTACAAGGCCCTTTTTCGTTCGAGTTCAGACCTGACACGCCGTCCATCGCCGGATAAGGCAAACTTCTATCCTCAGTTTCGAACGTTTTCTCGCCGGGTGCTTCTGTCCCATGCAGCATCACGTCTTCTCCGACTGTCGAAATTTGAATTTTTCTTTACGCAGGACTTTAGTTTAGTGCCGTCAAGTATTCCAGGCACGCGTAGTAACACCCACTACAACATCCAGAAGAACAAGCCTTAGTCTTTTAGTATGTGGTCTCTCGCCGGTGTCCAAGACCAAATAACACCACACCGACCAATTTTCTAACCTCTGTTTTTCTCGCTATTTACATGTATATGGAGGACAGTTGGAAGCATGTAGCACTCACAATGAACACATCAGGACGGTGTAATAATGCCACTCAGGTACATCATGGGCGTGTATGCATTCCTGCCTGCGAGTTATGCCAAGCAACTCGTCTGGACACCAGTGCACACATCCGACAAATGCAGAATATTGGAATATTTTGGTAAAATAGTGAACGGCGAAAGGCAAAAACGCAAATTGCAGCCACCTACAGACTAATATCCACATACGCTGGCTGTGTAAAGGAGTGTCAATGAGAATCTTCATTGCGTTACTACAGAAGTGTATGAAACGGAACGTAGCGGACGAGCTCAAAAGTGAACGCCGCGCCAATATAGGCGGCATTGCAGCACATGTAAAGACAGTTATGGACAAACAGGCACAGATGAACTGTTCCCACTATGAAACGGTCTCAGCAGTTCCAAGGAGTAAGAACATGACAATAGCATAGAATGATGTCTTTTGCAAGGAGTGCTACGAGGCACAGCTAGAATGTTTAATAGTTGACAGCAGTGCAAGCATTCACAACAAAGCTATTACAGCTGATCGCTTGTCACACTCAGATCTGCGATAATCCTCTGGCTGAGCTAACAGCAGTACTGGGAGAACACATGGATGTTTGCACACTAGCAAAAGAAGCGAGTCATTCTCCTTCTGCGGAAAGGCTGCAATACCCAAGGCCCTCTTCGTGCTGTTCTCACACAATGCCAAGACGCGTTAATAGCCAAGGTCCTCTTCGTGCTGTTCTCACACAATGCCAAGACGCGTTAATAGCCAAGGTCCTCTTCGTGCTGTTCTCACACAATGCCAAGACGCGTTAGAGCACGATCCACCTGAGAAGACACACAGATCGCACAAGATAAGGCAGTATTTTAAGTTTTTAACGACAGTAGGAATAATGCATGAAACACAGAAAGTAATTAAATGGAAAAAAATTGCTCTGCTCTTTATATACTACACTTTTCCAATGTTATACAGATAATACACTGAACTCCATGGAAGTGGATTTGGTTGTCCCTATTAGTATAATTGCAGTGGGTGCTGCTTCACTTGAACCATAATTTTGGTTCCAGTGAAGCAGCACTCACTGCAACAATTTGCAGAAAAATTCCTCAATCGCATCGTCGCGCATCACGTCGCAGAAGTGATATCATGCATCGCGCTTTAGAATGTTGGCATGGCTGGGCATCACTGCCGGTAGTTCTGCCAAGAAGACGTAACCCGGATTATTAACCCCTGGTGGATCGGTTACACACAGAAACACAGCAGGTTCGAGGCAGTGTCTGCATGCGATACACCATGCACACAAACCTTCATAAGGCTCTTATGAGAAAAAGCGCGCTTTGAATCTGAAAACCACAGCAGATCGTTGACGCACTGCCCCAGCCGGTATCCCAGTTTGTCGCTACGTAATGTGGGCAGCAAGCCCCTTCAGACCCCTCGTGCAAAGTTGCATGCTCTTGGGGCTATGGACTCTTGGTTCAGCCACCAAAATATGAATGCAGTGGAGCTGCGTCAGCGGCGTACATGAAACGAGACAGCATTCGGTTCGTTTCAATCGATAATATCGACAAAGAATATATTATTACAATGACACCAAGAGAAGCTTTCATGGCAATTAAGGCCAGCATGTCCATCCGCAGCAGCAACGAGGGTACATCTCAAGAGAATACAACTACAAGTCCATACCCACTAAAATGTCATGCAAATTTTACAATATACAGAGTATAAAAGACATACAAATTTCGCACTTTCGGATTCCTCAACAGTACCATCCTAAGCACAGGCACACTAAACGGGAAGAGAACACATTTATTTATGACATCGTATTCTTTTGGATGCTTCTTTCTTCTTGTTGTGCTATTTTCAACAAGGCAACACTTGTGCTCGTAAAAATACTAAAAAAACAATTTTGAGATTCCACTTAGTGCCATCGGTTATTCCAGGCAGGAATGCTCAAACCATTATCATCACACTACACAACAATATGTACTTACTAAGGTCCGCCATGAGAGCTTGGTGTCCGCGGCTCTAGGAAAGCGCAGCTCGTCTACTTCTCGATGCCAGTCGGCGAAACCAGCAAATCGGGGAGAGCAGTTTCTTCCATAAATAAAGGCCAAGATGGCGTTTGCGATTCAAATTTTCTACTCGGCGTCAAAGCACAACATTGAACTCATCATCTTCCATTGCTGCAAAGGCAAAGGAGCGAAGACAGGCCGCGAGAAAGGCCAAAACAATTGCCAAATTTCTCCCCCAACTGCCATTGTCGTCATCATCTTCACCAACACAGTTTTGTGCAGACTTTTTCCCGCGGGATCGGACCCAGGAAAATGAAAACGGCCCACTCAGTGGCCTGGCGCACGGACTGTGTAGCATCGACTTTTCGAAGCTTTTTTTGAAGACATTTCGGACGTAAATCTACGTCCAAGTCGTACTTTCTCAAAAACAAACTCTTTCTCCAAGAATCCATGGACATCGCGACAGGAAGAAGTGAGGACGCTGTTAAAAATATTGCATTGCCGTCGAGGACAATCATTCTGATAGCTGTGCAACTCAGCCGAAAAATGCTCCTTCGACGTATCATCAGTCTCTCAAGTTCCTCAACCATTTGAAATCATCTTCGAGGAAAGCACCGGAAATATGCCGATGGCCTGGGGAAGAAATTGTTCTTGAAGAGACTGACTGCACTGGTGAAAGAAGAAGGCGATGAAGCCGAAGAGTCACCATTGCATCGAAAAAATAAATTGTTTTGTCTTTAGGATCGTATGCTTTGTTTTACTTTTGCCTTGCTTCTTGTCGTTGAGGCTCAGACTCAGACTAGAATCGCAGTTTAGGCAGTTTACCCTGGGGAAGCATCCTGGTTTGACTGTAAATTTTAGAAGAATTCATCGGCGTGACTCATCGCACTGCACCAAAAATGACGCAATGAAGGAATTCCGCCGAGCGGGCTTCCATACAGGGACTGATCAGGAGTTGCACACTCTTGGGGGTTATGAACTCTTGGTAGTATGTGTGCCGCGTTCAGTTGCTGTCTAGTATGAGATAGCCGGGCTGGTGGTGCGTATTGCCTTGATGTGGATCATCTAACTCGGGGGCTTCTAAAGCCCGTCGAAACGCATGCCGTTTCAGATGTATGGTCTCGTGGTGTGTGTGTGTGTGTGTGTGTGTGTGTGTGTGTGTGTGTGTGTTGTGTGTAACTCTGTGTGTGTGTGTGTGTGTGTGTGTGTGTGTGTGTGTGTGTGTGTGTGTGTGTGTGTGTGTGTGTGTGTGTGTGTGTGTGTGTGTGTGTGTGTGTGTGGTGTGTGTGTGCATGTGTGCGTGTGTGTGTCAAAATGCATACCGTTTCAGATTTATGGTCTTGTGGTGTGTGTTTGTGGGGGGGGGGGTGTTTGTGTGTGTGTGTGTGTGTGTGTGTGGTGTGTGTGTGCATGTGTGCGTGTGTGTGTCAAAATGCATACCGTTTCAGATTTATGGTCTTGTGGTGTGTGTTTGTGGGGGGGGGGGGTGTTTGTGTGTGTGTGTGTGTGCGCGCGCGCGCGCGTGCGTGTGTGTGAGTCTGTCTGTCGCGCTCACAATAATTATCTCGTTTTCTGCTTATGAAGCTACATGACATGTATGTGTCATTTGAAGAATATTACAACGTAGAGGTGATTGTCTGCTTTGCGTTCCTCTCTGCTTGGCCTGCATTATCAATTTATCAGTACTGGTTTTTGCTCTTCACACGTACACGTACACCCCCCCCCCCCCCGCACACAAACACACACACACACACACGCGCACGCACGCATGCTTATGTATACGGTTTCAGTTTGAAAAATGCAAAGTGTCCTGTACATGTGTGCGTCTGATGCATTCACACGAACTTCAACGGTCTATGCATATACCATGCACGCGTCACTTCTCTTTTGAGGAAAGAGAACCAAAGCATATCAATGCAATCACATACATGTATACAAACTTTTAAAAGTGTGTGAATGTACAACGTACGTTTGTCTTGTTTATGCTGTGTGCCACTTTGCTCTGAGCATGGAAATTCTGTCGTATTTGCGAATTGTCGTTATATACGCAGTGGTTATTAGAGAAGTTGACTGTATGTGAATGTACAAAGTATGTTTGTCTTGTTTATGCTGTATGTCACTTGCTCGGCCACCCGTGTTGCGTTCTCTCTGTTTCGGCTATTGCTACTGCACTGTTTTAGCCAGAAATTTTAGTGTTGATAGGGAAACCGAGTGCGAAAAGTGGCTAGGCTTTGTTGGTGAGGTACTCTCATGTGTGCGTATCCGTGCTCGTTTGTTTTCCTCCGACGGTGTGGCACACACATGTGGTGTATGCGAAGTGTATCCGGCATGTACGAACAGTGTGTGTGCATCCGCGGCATGCATGTTCGGCATGTTTGTGCTCCACGTGTGCATGTAGGAACTTAACGTGTACGTGTGTAACGCAAGCGTGTGGGGCACACCCATTACATCTGCGGCACCGTGACATGGCCAGTATGTGATGTCCGATATGGGTGTGCAGGAGTGGCGCGTGGGCGTGTTCGCAGTGTGCACGTCTATACTCCAGCGTATTGTCCACTTTCCTGGTCCCAGGAGTGGTTTGGATCTGTGGAAAACACGTGAACTGAATACAGTGGAGTTAGTTTGAACTCTTGCGTGCTTTCTGTGCACAGTACAGGTTTATCTACGGAATTGAGCATGGTCAAGAAATGCGTCTGAAAAACCTGGAGCACCATCGATTTTGCCATAACCATTACTCGAATGTCCGAGAGCAGGGTCGAGGGCAACCACATTGTCGAAAATTACACCTGTTCACGCCCTCCTTTCAGGTTACTGGCTCGTTTTCGCCGACTGCTCTGAATCGTACGAAAAATTCAAATGTTCTCCGCCGAATGGCACCATCACAAAGTCTTTCGGATAATTTTCGATATGCACCTCGCGAACATACCGCCTTCCTGCACCAATACACCACAAACAATGCATGCTCCATTCGACGAGGTGGGTGTCATGAGTGTTCTTTCACGTCAGTCGCCGAAAGTCATTTCAGGGTGAGAATCGTTCTCAAGAAAAAGATCGCAAAAATCAGTCTCGATGGAACGCTTGAGGTTGGACTGCTCAAATGTGGCAAGGAGTAATTGCACGGGTCACACAATGCAGGATGTGCTGTTGTTTTCACGATATCTACGACTATGTGAGAGAGACACCAAAAAGTTAGGGTGCCAGTTTCCAATGAATGGACTGTAGGGAGCTACTCCACGGCTCCTACCATCGCGCAGCCGGCTGGCCGCATGCGTGTGCATTGCAGACTTTTTGTTGTTGCCTTTTCGGATGTGCATGCACGAGGAACTTCCTTCTTTGCAACTGCTTCTTGCATGAGCTGTTTCGGATATTTCGTCTCCTGGCCTGGCTTATTTCGTTTCGGCGCTGCTGAGACCTCCTTTCGCGGAAAATTACTCAATGACAGGTGAGTTGACCAGTCGCGGCTTTGATTCATTTGCTTGTGTTGACTCTTTCATTTACGAAAAGTGTGCTGATTTTGGGCGGAATGCAATAAATAATGGAAAAGCTGACAGGATCTCCTTTCTAAATTTAGCTTTTCCGCTGCCGAGGCCTCCTGTGACAGAATACTCAATGACAGGTGATCTCTGAGTTGACCAGTTTCATTCGATTCATTTGCTTATGCTCACCCTTTCATTTACGGAAACGTGTGCTGATTTTATTCGGATTTAGATCCATTTTTATCTCTTTGCCCTTGCCTACAGTGTGCGAAGAAGGCGAGTTCACCTTCTTGACGGTAAGGCTTATGTTAGATGTGTTGTCGAAATACTCATATTCATTGCACATTAGTACGTTACAAGTAAGGCACTGGTCAGTGGCATACTATCGTTGGCAGTTCCCAATCTGGAGGGAAAGGTTCAAGGACTCATTGACCGAGTTTGCCAAATAAATTCGCATATCAGGGAAAATCTCCATTGTGGAGAGGTTCAGTAACTTGTTTGCTTCATACGAAACAAGCCAATGGGTGCAGCCTCGTCTCGTGAAAATCTCGTACTTGTATGATTGGACTTGTTTACTCGAGTCTGGGCTGTTTAATTTGTGAGTACCGCCGAGATGGCACTGCCCCAAATGAAGTTTCGTGCCGGCAAAGCAAGAATTACGATCTGCAATCTGTTTGTAGTACCTGCAAGAATGTGCAGAACATGTATCGTACTTTCTCTGTTGCTGTTTCAGTTGCCGTCGTGTTGCTAAAGAAACGTTCAGTAGAGAGGTTCTGCAAAACGAAAGTTCGAACGAAGTTTCGCGACAGTCCTTGCGAAAGTGTGTACGAATTTTTGCGCGACTTTGCGTTCTGCACATTTTCGTAGTTTGCGCGGGCCAAGTGCACGTACGCCATGACCCGATCTCACAAAATTTCCTACGACAGTTCATTTCGCGTTCCCTGCAAGTTTCGCGTCCAAAGTTGCGAAAGTTCGTGCGAGATTTCGCACTTCATGATGTAGAGCGAAAGTTTGTACGCATTTTCGTTCTACAGAACCTCTCTAGTGACTCTTTTTTTCGTACGAGACGAGTCGGTAAAAAAAAGTTATTAATTTTTGATTATCGTGTCCGTTCCCGAAGGGAACTCACGACGGCCGCTAACACCCGGTAAACCCTAGCGGCAGATGCAGCGCCTAACGGTGAGGGTGAGTGAATAAGTCTCACAACCACTGGCACAAGTGCCGAAAACGAACCCATTAGCTGCATCCATGTACCCCTTGTGCCTGGCCACAAGTTCCCAGTTGACTGTGGGTAGCAGCACAGCTGGAAAAACCGCTCCCAGGCAGGACTTGAACCAGGTACCTCTCGTAGCTCAATCATGGTCTTTGACAAACACACTGTGCCTGCCTGGTCCTAGTCGGTGTGGTTTAGAATCTTTCGCTGTAGAAGAAATCTATTTGTATGTCTATTGGAGAAATAATTGTATTCACTGGTTATAAAATAGGTTAAGACAAACTCACAGAATAAATACCATCGGTCCCTTGGTGTTCGTCCTAAAAAAAGGTTCGACTGGATATCATACTCACCAAAATATATGTAAGATTTTATTACCGAAGGATGTACCCAGAGTGCTTGACAGTGCTCAACACCACAAAGGCAGAGCGTAATACACAACAGAACAACAAGGACAATCAAGGCTTGTTTGCTGCTACTTTAACCTCTTTAGTACGACGCTACCTGAGCGCGCCCCACGCGACAACACCTGTAAAACTCGCATTTTCCCATGAAAGTACTAGCTGCTCAAGGATCGATAACTTTACCTTCCCTTGGACGAATTCCACGATCTTGAGCTTCCTGGAAAGGTCTTGAGACGAGTGACAAACTGGTGTCAAAC